AAGACTGGTGTAAATTTACAGACTATTTGAAAAGTAATTGTGATGATCAGACTATGTTTGTAGGTTTGCAAGAAGTTTTGTGAGGTGAATTATTGGAACTATTGCAAAAATGGATAAAGGGGAGGATTGTTAGTTAAGATAATCAAAGGCAATATGAATTTAAGAAATGCATAAGAAGTGGTTAAAACGGTGGGTCATCGGAGGTGCTGATGGAAGTCCAAAAAAGACTGTATAAGTGGTGAAGTTTTGTGGTATGTATTATAATTTATATGTTAAAATTAATAAAAATTATATATATATATATATATATTTGCTTTCGTAGATTTTCACGGGTACAGGAATGCAGGTTTTGGTGTCCTCGGGTGTCTTCCCGTGTAAAAGTTGGGGTGTCTAGGCGACGTTTCGACGAGGTCTCACTCGTCATCTTCAGGCTGGTGCTTTCGGCTTCTTGTTACTGGAACAGAGCAGGATCTCAGTGTTTGAGTTCCTATAAATACTGTTGAGGGGGTGTGGTGTATAGCCTCCAATGTTCTGGGCAGAGAGGAAGTTCCCAGGCTAGTGTGCCTTTTCTTCTTTTGTTCCTTAATTACTTGAGGGATATCTTGAGTGATTTCTTGAGTGATATTCTGAGTACCACTTAGGTGGGTCATTAGGTGTGGATTAGTTGCTAAAGCCTTCGTGTCTTGACCTCTTGAGCTTTGTGAAGAGTTTTTCTGAGAAGATGGCTGTACTGCACTTAGTTGTGCTCTGGCTTGGCTTCGTGTATAGGGGCGAGCTGTGGTTTTGTGTACTGTGCCAGCCAGATCTGTGTAGGGATTGCAGGGGGGTGCAGCATCCGGAGGTGCCACCATGGTTTGGCTACTGGATGGTGTCTGTAATTTATCTGTGGAGAGGGTCTGGGTTTGGGTCTGGTGTGGTTGATTGGTGATGGCGTTCTGTGTGCCTCTGGATCTGGTGTCGGTTTTTGTGGGGAGGGCTAATTTCCAGATGTCTGGCAGGCGGGACGTGTCGTCACGCTTGTTCATGTTGTGAGGGTGTTTCTCTATCTCGATGGCTTCCATGATTATTCTCTTGTGGTGATGTTCCATGTTAAAGAGCAATTTGGAATCTGCAAAATTAATTTCGTGTCCTGTTTCTTTCATGTGTTGGAAAAGAGAGGAAGTTTTTTCTTCTTTTTTGACGGCATTCTTGTGTTCTGCGATACGTGCATTTATTCGTCTGTTTGTTTGTCCAATGTACGTGGCTGGGCAGACTTTGCAGGGTATTTCATAGACCCCTTGGTTTTCCAACTGGATTTTATCCTTGGGGTTTCTGAGGATATTGGCTATTTTTTGGTTGGTGCAAAAGGCTGTTTTGATATTGTGTTTATGGAGGATTTTGCTAATTTTATCTGTAGTGCCCTTGATATAAGGAAGGAGGGCATATATATATATATTCTGTCAGTTTCAAATGTGAACTTCAATTCTGTTTCCAGAGATCTCCAACACCTCTCCTTTTTCCTTCACCCATCCCATTGGAAACAAAGGCCAATTTCCTGGCCGAGGGAGCCGGCGTACAGCTTCCGGGTCATGTGGCCAGCATGACTAAGCCACTTCTGGCGAACCAGAGCAGCGCACGGAAACGCCGTTTACCTTCCCGCCAGAGCGGTACCTATTTATCTACTTGCACTTTGAGGTGCTTTTGAACTGCTAGGTTGGCAGGAGCTGGGACTGAGCAATGGGAGCTCACCCCGTTGTGGGGATTCGAACTGCCGACCTCCTGATTAGCAAGTCCTAGGCTCTGTGGTTTAACCCACAGCACCACCCACGTCCCTCCTACTCAGAGTAGATCCGATGAAATGAATTGGCCCCGGTTAGTCATGTCCATTGATTTCCATCTCATACTCTCGGTAGGACTAACATTTGATACAACCTATTATTACCCTACAATTATTTCGGATGGCCATCATTATGGAAGGGTTATATGAGGATTAGACAAACCCATGGAAGAGACAGTAATCGATGTCTGCCAGGATGCCAGACTAGATGGGCCTGATCCAGATGGACTCTGTTGTTGTTGTTAAAATTTATATACTGCTCTTCATTCAAAGATCTCCGGGGAGTTCAGAAGACAAAAAGCACAAAATAAACAGCTGAAACAGAACAAAACAATAATCCCCGTTTCTCATGTTACCTACCCATTGCCAGGAGTAAAGAGGTGGTTTTTAATAATATAATTTTAAACTAGACATAGCCAAATGCCTGTGGAACAGCTTAAAATTGGAAGTCAATAAACACGGGAGTGTTGGGTTGCAAGCGCGCTATGCCTTTAAAGCCCATTCGAAGCCTATTCTTTCTCTCAAAGGATTCTGGGCCCTGTAGTTTATGGTCCAGCTCTCCCTTCCATACATCACTACTGGGAAAACCATAGCTTGAACTATGCAACAAAGGTCCGTATTGTAAAAGCTATGGTTTTCTCCGTAGTGATGTATGGAAGTGAGAGCTGGACCATAAAGAAGGCTGATCGCCGATGAATGGATGCTTTTGAATTCTGGTGCTGGAGGAGACTCTTGAGAGTCCCGTGGACTGCAAGAAGATCAAACCGATCCATTCTGAAGGAAATCAGCCCTGAGTGCTCACTGGAAGGACAGATCCTGAAGCTGAGGCTCCAAGACTTTGGCCACCTCAGGAGAAGAGAAGACTCCCTGGAAAAGACCCTGGTGTTGGGAAAGATGGAGGGCACAAGGAGAAGGGGACGGCAGAGGACAAGATGGTGGGACAGTGTTCTTGAACCTACCAGCATGAGTTTGACCAAACTGCGGGAGGCAGTGGAAGACAGGAGTGCCTGGCATGCTCTGGTCCAGGGGGTCACAAAGAGTTGGACATGACTAAATGACTAAACAACAACAACAACAACAGTTAATCAAGGCTTCCTCTACTAACTGAGCTATGGAAGGGTAGGACACAACGCTCAGTCACAGAGAGCATGTGATTCGCATCTGGAAGGCCCCCTGCCCACCACCAGCATCTCTAGCATCAAGCAACAGGTCCTGGGGAAGGTCTCTCTCTCGGGCCACGATCCAGACAGCCGCCACCAGTCTGAGGAGTCAATAGCTTGGCGTGATCTAAGGCAACTTGCCATGTGCCTTTGAGTCACTTCTTACAGTCATCAAATCGCCAGGGAGCAAGAAGTAATCGAGTGACGCACCTGCCAATTTGCAGACTAACCAAGTTTCTAGACTTCAGTGAGTTACTGAGTTCATTTCTTCAACTTTGGGCCAGCTCCTTACATTCAGGTCCCACATCCTGTTCTCACAGTGGCCAACCAGATCGTGCCTCTTCTGCGAAGCCCCAGGCAGGACCTGAGGTTCAGGAGCAGTGTGCTCTGGCTTGCGATTCCCAACGAGGGATATTGCTCTCACGCCCTCTTAGCAGACCCTTGTCCTGTGCCCTGTCTGCACATCCAGTCCAGCTGCGCAGATGATATCGCCCATGGTTACTTGCATTTCACAACTGAGGCCACAACTGAGCTCCTCAGAGATAAAGGTGCGATATAGCCCACCAGATAGCTCCATCAGCAGAGCATGAGGTTCGTAAGCTCAGGGTTGTGGGTTCGAGTCCCACTTGGGGCAAAAGATTCCTGCATTGGACTAGATGACCCTCACAGTCCCTTCCAACTCTACAATTTTAAATGCAACCAATAATATAAATAAGTTATTTGTGGTATGGCAAGTTATGCAGTTCCTGGACCATATCCAATGTCAGTTCCACGCAGGGTAGACCCCACTGGAATTCATGGTCATCATGGCTAACTTAGGCCCATTGACTTTGATAGGTTTTATTTATCTATATTGGAGAGAATAGGTAAAGGTAAAGGGACCCCTGACCATTAGGTCCAGTTGTGGCCAACTCTGGGGTTGCGGCGCTCATCTCGGTTGACTGGCCAAGGGAGCCGGCGTACAGCTTCTGGGTCATGTGGCCAGCAGGACTAAGCCGCTTCTGGCGAACCAGAGCAATGCACGAAAATGCCGTTTACCTTCCCACCGGAGCGGTACCTATTTATCTACTTGCACCTTGACATGCTTTCGAACTGCTAGGTGGGCAGGAGCAGGGACCGAGCAACGGGAGCTCACCCCGTCGCGGGGGATTTGAACCGCCAACCTTCTGATCGGCAAGTCCTAGGCTCTGTGGTTTAACCCACAGTGCCACCCACGTCCCTTATTGGAGAGAATATACATCCATTTAAAAATATATCTCTCTTTCTCTTCTGCTTAACAACATTCACACTGGTGGAAGAGGGTGCAAAAGGTTCCTACTGATTTGTGTGAAAATATCCGAGGAGGAGAAGGCTTGCAGAAAGTCCCTGATTTAATCCTCAGCCTCTCCAGGTAAGGCTGGGAGAGGTCCAGCTGCTGCCAGCCAGTGTAAACAATATTGACCTAAATGGACCACGGGTCTGGCTCAGTATAATTCAGCCTCCTAGGTCCCCATGTCTGAAGGCCACTGCCCCGAGTCCCAGTAACCACAAGCGAGGCCGGATCAATTTAGATCTAAAGGCCTTCAGCATTTTTGGGCAGACTCCTTGCATCTGAAACGCAAAATTAAGTAGCCACGTGGAGATCGTCCCCCCGTTTTTCACCCCAAAAACCCGATGTTCAGCACAAACCTTTCTGGCTGCTACGTGTATAGCAAAACAAGAGAGTTCTTTGGTCGAGTTTTCCGATCAGGATTCGAAAGCTAAACGTTGCAAAATGTCGGACTCCAAAGGATACCCGGGTATTAATTTGAGCTCTCCTGCAAATTTGTTTTGGTCCCGGAGCTGTCATTTGCAGCTTATCATCAATCGCGCATGAATTAAAAACTTAGAAGCAATTTGTTTTATTGTCGTTTGTTTAATCATAGCTGCTTAGCGATGAAAGCTCCCTTAAGGTCATCCGAAACACGTTGGCAAAAGGAGATGCTATTTGTTCTGGGAAGTTGGGGGACCACCCTCTCCCCGAACCGCCAAACCCCAGAGCTTACCGATCCCTTGGCACAACTGGTTCCGACCCGGTTCAGAAGTTGCTTGGCACTCTCTCCGTTGGTCCCCACCAAGGTGATGGAAATGGAGTCAAAGGTCCCAGTCAGGAGACCTTTCCCGGTCGTCACTTTGACTTTGTAGACAACTGGTTCGGCCGGCTTGGAGGAGAAGATCCCCACTTGTTCCATCTTGCCCGCGTTTGGACCCTCGGGAGATCGGGGCGAAGAGAAGCCGGAAAAAGCTTCGGGATGAAGCCGGGAGCTTGGCTTATAAGTGTGGTGCGCAGGCGAGGCAAACATCTGCTCCAGGAACCGGCTCGTCTCCCTTTTGGCTGAGCTACGCCCAGGTGCCTTCAAGCGACAGGGCTCAGTCCAAGTCCTCCCACCCACTCTCGCTGCCTCGACTCACACAGGTAACCTCCTGCAGCACAGGCTATCACTTATATATATATGTACGTCCACACGCAGGCCTTCTCCTCCATCCTCCCCGCGTACAAAGGTGAAACCCAAGCTGCACCTGGAAATGGACCACCCATCTCTCCATCGTGGGTGGCGACCTCCCATCGTGGCAGGTGCATCTCGGCAGGGAGGGATGAAGCCGATGGCAGGACTGGAAGGCAGGGGGATGGAGCGAAGCAGATGGGAAGATAGGCAGAGAGAAAGGGGGGGTTTCACTGATGGAAATTAGACAGGGGCTCAGGACTATGTCCAGAGCCTTTTTCCAGCCCTATTAGGAGACCCCGGGGATCGAACCTGCGACCTTTTGCAGGCAAAGGAGGCGTTCTGTCCCCAAGCTGAAGCCCAGCTCCATAAACTCCTTCCAGGGCATTTGGAGGGGGCAGGAGTTTGGGGGATTCAGTGCCCCTCTCTCTTTACCTTGTTGCTAGCATTGCCAGCTCAGGAGCATCCCAGGCCCCAAATCTCGGGGCAGCCCTACTGGCAGCGCCACAGGGGCAGGCCCCCAGAGATGGAGGTTAATGGGGTGAGTCCTTGACTTCCCATTTCCACCCCCTTCTTGGTATATTAGTTGTTGTTGTTGTTACAGAATATTTCAATTGAACAAAATACTGTAAAACAGAAATAAAAAGTGAATAAAACATATAAATTAATAGTGGAATAAAAAGTGCATATATCACTATGTATGCAAACAACTACAATTCCACACGGTTGTCTAGCACAGTGGTACCTCGCTTTACGAACTTAATCCGTTCCGGAAGTTCGTTCTTAAACCGAAACCGTTCTTAAACTGAGGTGTGCTTTCCCTAATGAGGCCTCCCGCGGCCAGTGCCCTTCCACTGTTCAGATTCCGTTCGTAGACCGAGGTAAAGTTCACTAACCGAAACACTACTTCTGGTTTTGCAGAGTTCTTATACTGAATAGTTCGTAAACAGGGCTGTTTTAAACCGAGGTACCAAAGTACATCAAATTATAAATGTTATTATTATCCAAATACATATATGCAGTGCTTTTTTTCTTAAAAAATGTTTAGGGGTGCTCTCATTTTGACTCAAGAAAATCACCATTTTATAGTTCAAACTGGGAAAAATAAAAGGCGAAAGATTTATACGATCTGAAGAGAAACCAGAGTATGTTATTGGAAATGTTATGCTTTAGCAAATATGATTAAGCAAATGGTAAAATAAGTGACAAATGAGAAAAGAAGACAAAGTGAACCAAACATATTATGTTTATTTTAAAGGTATTAAAATTGTGATACAATATATTGAATACGGATACATAATAATTGAAAGTTGTAACAAGGTTTGAAACAAGGTAACAAATTGCTGATATTGTTATTACAAAGAACGCAGATCTGGAAGGTGTGGGGAAGTCCAAACCCTATTAAGGTTTTTTCTTTTTTTTCTTTTTTTTTGTTAAAAAAATCAAAAATTGTTTCTTGTACTTGGTTTCTTCTGTACTGTTTGGAATGTACAAAACTATGAAAAGAAACGCAATAAAAAATATTTAAAAAAACAACAACAAACTGGGAAAAATAAATACAGTAAATGGACAAAAGGCTGCCATCAGGGGTAGCAACGGAACTAACGATTCACCATGCTAGAGAAGAAACTATTTTTTAAAAATTAGTTTCCTCTCCCGTTAGATTCACAAAATGTTTAGGGGCATGCGTCCCCCTGCGTCCCTCCAGAACAAAGGCAATGATGATCAATTCAATTTATATACTTGAATTTGATCATCTTTCACGGGGTGTGAGTGGTTCCCCTGCTGAGTCGAGGGGGCCACAAAATTGAGAAGACCCATAATTTTGAGAAGACTCATTTGGGACCCATTTGAGAGGTTGCTATATGTGGTGACAATGTCAGGTTATTAAAAAAAAAGCTTGGATAATGATATATAATGATTTGAAGAAAATGCTTAAAATAAGGGAAAGGTAAAGGTACCCCTGCCCATACGGGCCAGTCGTGTCCGACTCTGGGGTTGTGCGCCCATCTCACTCAAGAGGCCGGGGGCCAGCGCTGTCCGGAGACACTTCCGGGTCACGTGGCCAGCGTGACATCGCTGCTCTGGCGAGCCAGCGCAGCACACGGAACGCCGTTTACCTTCCCGCTAGTAAGCGGTCCCTATTTATCTACTTGCACCCGGAGGTGCTTTCGAACTGCTAGGTTGGCAGGCACTGGGTCCGAACAACGGGAGCTCACCCCGCCACGGGGATTCGAACCGCCGACCTTTCGATCGGCAAGCCCTAGGCGCTGAGGCTTTTACCCACAGCGCCACCCGCGTCCCTCATGCTTAAAATAACCTTTTTTTAAAAAAAAACAAACGGAAGACTTGACATTGGGTTCTACAGGATTGAATGTTTTCAAAGAGAAAAAAGAATCTCCCCCTGTATCTGATAGCAGATACTTGGCCACGGTCATCCCAAAATTTGAAAAGAAAGACATCTCTGCCAAAGAAGACAAAGGAGATTAATTAATGGCCATGCAGGGATAATCAATTAATTAGAAACCCAAGAAAATAAGCAGACAATAATTTGGAAAATGGAAATTTGTTCTTGCAGACTTTCAAAGCATGATGTACGATATTATACATTAGCAGGACTTTGAAAAACACTTGTAATACGATGAAGAATGTATAAAATTGGAAAGTATTGAGAATTGAACAGATCATGGCCGTGCATGATTAGATGTAAAACAAAAGAACCAAGAAGGGGAGTGGAGTCAAAGGATTCTAGAAATCCCATGTTTGGGAATTGTTATGGACTGTATATTGGGACGCAGGTGGCGCTGTGGGTTAAAGCCTCAGCACCTAGGACTTGCCGATCGAAAGGTCGGCGGTTTGAATCCCTGCGGCGGGGTGCGCTCCTGTCGTTCGGTCCCAGCGCCTGCCAACCTAGCAGTTCGAAAGCACCTTCAGGTGCAAGTAGATAAATAGGGACCGCTTACTAGCGGGAAGGTAAACGGTGTTCCGTGTGCTGCGCTGGCTCGCCAGAGCAGCGATGTCACGCTGGCCACGTGACCCGGAAGTGTCTGCGGACAGCACTGGCTCCCGGCCTATAGAGTGAGATGAGCGCACAACCCTAGAGTCTGGCAAGACTGGCCTGTATGGGCAGGGGTACCTTTACCTTTTTTAATGGACTGTATACATAGTTGATCTAAGGATTAAAGGTAAAGGGACCCCTGACCATTAGGTCCAGTCGTGGCTGACTCTGGGGTTGCGGTGCTCATCTCGGTTTATTGGCCGAGGGAGCCGGCATACAGCTTCCGGGTCATGTGGCCAGCATGACTAAGCCACTTCTGGTGAACCAGAGCAGCGCACAGAAACACCATTTACCTTCCCGCTGGAGCGGTATCTATTTATCTACTTGCACTTTGATGTGCTTTAGAACTGCTAGGTTGGCAGGAGCAGGGACCGAGCAACGGGAGCTCACCCCGTGGCGGGGATTCGAACCGCCGACCTTCTGATTGGCAAGTCCTAGGCTCTGCGGTTTAACCCACAGCGCCACCCGCGTCCCTCATCTAAGCATTAAGGTACAGTGATTTTTTTTGTTATTATCGTTAAAATTAATAAAATAGTATTAAAAGAGAGGGAGAGAAGAGACCCACTTGGGGGCACCAGATATTGGCCTCATTCACAGCCCCAGACTACTAAAAAATTAGCTGGGAAGTGTGGGGTATAAATAAAAATATGTTGTTGTTGTTGTTGTTGTTAAAATCCGTCCCTGATCTGGGTGGCTGCTGTGAGGACAAGGTGCCGAATTAGGTGGGAGCAGTTGGCCTCCTCTAACATTCCTCCTGGAGATTAGAAGGCAGGAGCAGCTACTCCCAGGGCACAGCCAAAATCCCCGTTCCCTCCTCCAGTGTCCTGTTAACCCATTTATTTGTTCTGTTAACCCACAGCCACTCTCCCCAGCCTTCCCCAGCCACACGTCCTTATCATTTTCTGAGCCTGTCTCCCTCCACCTGCCACCTGTTTCCTCTGGAAAACCGGGAACTGACTAAACCAGGGCAGGATGTTGAGCAGTGGTGCAGATCCACTTAAATTTCCCTCGGGATGACTCAGTGGGTAACTTCCCATCGCAACCCAGGAGGAGTTCTGAGTCGTTTGCATATTTAGAATAGGGAAGGGATTTTGTCAGCTAGTCATCACATTGGCCAAGGGCTCTAAAGTGCTTTGGGATTTTTGTTAATTGTCTGGGGTGACGTGAAGTATGCGGCTTGGCTTGCTTGTGTGAGTCGCCTTTTGAGCTATTCCGTGGCTGGGCTGATCTCTGAGGGGCTGAGTGTCCTTATCTGACACAGGGCCGGATTAAGCCCTTAAAATATTTTGGGGCCCCCATATATATCTAATTTAAAACATAAATAACAATAAACCATAAGATGAAGTTTTAGGGAAGCTTTTAATGTTCAAGAATATTTTATTTTAATATTTTGTTGGAAGCCACCCAGAGTGGCTGGGGAAACCGAGGCAGATGGATAGGGTATAAATTTATTATTATTATTACTATTATTATTATCATCATCATCATCTTTCAAAATGAAACAGATGGAAAACAATGATTATTTTTTGTTTATTTCTATTTGAAAATTTTTCTCCTAATTTTTCTAATTGCAAAGTCTTAGATTAGGTCCTCTTCAACGTGTTGGTGTTGACCTTTAAAGCCCTAAACGGCCTCAAAGGCCCAGTAGACCTGAAGGAGCGTCTCCATCCCCATCGCTCAGCCCAGACGCCGAGGTCCAGCGCTGAGGTCCAGCGCTGGTTCCCTCACTGCAAGAAGCAAAGCTACAAGGAACCGGGCAGAGGGCCTTCTCGGTGGTGGCGCCTTTCCTGTAGAACGCCCTCCCACCAGATGTCAAAGAGAACAACTACCTGACATTTAGAAGACATCTGAAGGCAGCCCTGTTTGGGGAAGCTTTTAATGTGTGGCATTTTAATGTGTTTTTAATCTTTG